GAGGAGAAGAAAAAAGGAGCCCAAATATATACTGAGCAGAAGAAATTAAGAGTATGTAGAGCCTGGGTTCAGGTCTCCGAAGACCCCCGCCGTCGGGAAGAATCAAGAAGGGGAGTACCTTTGGCAACGCGTCTGGACAGTCTATCGTGAAAGCAGTACCTTTGCCAAAACGACCAGTAGCCCAGCTTGAAGAAAACGGTGGAGCAACAATATGCAGCCCGCTATCAACAAATTCAGCGGTATCGTTCACCAAGTCGAGGGGCTCAACGAGAGTGGGGCATCGGTAGAGGATCAGCTCAACCGAGCTCTTCGGCTGTACACCCAAGACCAAGGAGACACACTTCAAGCACCTCAGATGCTATAATCTACTTGTTAAGAGTCCGAAATGGAACTCCTACTGCCGCAATAGTAATCAAAAGGAGACCGGGAAGAAAAAGCGAGCCCGAAGTCCTAGTAGCGAAGCACCTCAATCACAACTTGCGTCCACACCGGCACCATCCGATCCCGTCTCTGAATTTGAAGGCACTGGGTCGACTCCATCAATACTAGAGCGACCGATTGGAAAAAAAAAAGCGAAGATGATCAACCAACTTGCTGCCAAAGATCAAACCTGGAAAGATGAAGTTACAGCTGCTCACAAACAGATTGCCATGGAATCCAAACGACTAAACGACATCTTTGCCCACGATTCGACCTCCATCGATCGCATCTCGGCGCATGGGACGACCGCTTCCAAGCTCGCCATCATGACTACAGATCTTAAAGGTCTTGATGACGAGCAGAAGGAATACTTTAAGCTTAAAAGGGCTTCTATTCTCCAATCACTCCGTAATGAACAGAACTCCAGTAACAATTAGGCTTCCTTTTCTTTTTTTTACCTCCTCATTTGGAACCGATCTGTCGACTGGCTTTTTTTTCCTTCTTCATATGAAACTGATTGACTCTTAACGCCTCCATTGAAACAAATCTCTCACTGTTTTTCATGTTCATCTCTTAGGACAACCAATCAGTTGTATTTTCTCTTTATCTCATATGACTCGCGCGACCAAATTTTGAATACTATTCAGATGAATTGCAATCAAACCCAGTGAGCTGGTTACTTTGAATTTCATTTCCGTCGAGCACAAATAAAAAATTTAAGTAATTAAGAACAAGAACATGTGAGCTCAGAATCTGGTTGGAGTCGTAGTAAATTTAATTGTCATCATCATCTTGTCGACCTTTGATCTCCCATTGGTGCTTGATGATGTCATTGCGCAACTGAAAATGAGTAGCCGAGTCTCTCATTGATTGGAAATTATCGATGAAGTCGGCAAAAGAGATCGAGGACCCATCTCGCAAGACCTCAACTGGTGTGATGATGGCACCAGCGGGGGCATCGTCGTAGGCATAGTCTAGATATGCCCCTCGTTCGTCCTCCACAATCATATTGTGGAGGATGATGCATGTCTTCATTATACTCTTGAGGTTATGATGCTTCCATCCTCGTGCCGGACGAGAAACAATAGCAAATCTCGCTTGAAGCACACCAAACGCCCGCTCCACGTCTTTTCGTCGGGCTTCTTGAAGCTTCACAAAGTGTCTCTGGTCGGCTCCGCGGGGTTGCGACAATGTCTTGACAAATGTAGGCCAATCGGGATAGATTCCATCAGCAAGGTAGTAACCTTGCTTGTATTCGTTTCCATTGATTGTGTATTCACACCGAGGTGCTCGACCGTGTAGAAGATTCTGAAATAATGGCGATGTATCGAGGACATTAATGTCATTATGTGATCCTGGCATGCCAAAGTAGGCATGCCAGATCCACATGTCGTGCGATGCCACAGCCTCAAGAATGACTGTTGGAGTCTAGAAAAGGAGATAGTTAGTGGATTTACAGAGAATTGTGCAGAGTGAGAAGATCTCACCTTTTCTTTTCCTTGGAATTGTCCTGCCCAGCCGGACGGACAGTTCTTCCACCGCCAGTGCATACAATCGAGTGACCCAAGCATACCTGGGAATCCTCTTTTGGCACCTTCAGAAAGCAGTCGCTCCAAGTCGCCCGTGGTTGGGTGTCGAAGATATTCGTCTGAGTAGATGGCTACAATCGCATTGCAAAATCTATCCATGCATTCCAGTGATGTTGACTCGGCTAGTTGAAGGTATTCATCGTTACAGTCGGCAGCCGCGCCATACGCAAGCATCCGCAGGGCTGCAGTGATCTTAACCAGGGGCCTCACCCCCAATTTTCCCAACGCATTGGCTCTGAGAGTAAAGTATTCGTCGTGATTTTCAACAGCCTCGGCGATCTTCAAGAAAAGGGGCTGCGCCATTCGAAAGCGGCGCCGAAAGAGGGATTCATTGTAGAGAGGACGTGCACAAAAATAGTGCTCCATGAGCCTCTGATAGCTGCCTTCAAAGTCGCGGGGGCGGTTGGGCTGTTTTCCTGGCTTGGATCCACCATGCGGAGGAAAAAGTGAGTCATCAATGTCTTCATCTTCGTCATCGAGTAGCAGAGGCATGATCTGGAGGGCGGTATTGATTGTTGTTCTGAACTGTGCTAGTAGTTGCCTTCGTCGGATCAAGATGCGCAGGAATGCTGGGTTGACCTCCATGCTGACTGTGTTGAAGAAGGATAGCCAAGGTTTTGGGTGGTGTGCCTACACAACTGGCCGATGGAGCAATAGGGGGAATCGGGGGCATGCCCTTTCACACCCTCAAGGTGCTACTTTGAGACCTTGCGGTGTAAAAGAGCAAATGAGTGGGGTTCTAAAATATGCGCCGCAGTTGGCCGAGTTTGATATTTAGGGACTCGGATAGTCCTTTGCGGTGGAGTTGCTCTAACGCACTGGTTAGCGATTTTTTGGCCCTGCAGCGGCCGTTAGCGTCGTTGTAGTGCAGAAAGAATGTGCTAACACTAACAGATTTCCACGCAAGTAAAGCGCCGCTGTGCTAACGCTTTTTGGGCAAAAGGCTCAGCGGCCCACCCTTGCGAGTTCTTTCTTTCATTGATGTAAGATTGGTGTAGGAATAATACAAAAACTTACACACCCAATGAAATCTTAGCATTCAATTATCGTTCCTGAATTTATGTGGACTGCAATACTATATTTTTGGATTTGTCCTCTCTTTGCGTTAGGAATTTCAAGTTAACCTGATGGTTTAAAAGATGGATACATTCCTTTTTTGTCTAGAATATAGCAAAATTGCATAAGTGAATGGTTACGAAAACTGGTGGTGGATCTGTGGTATAGCTTTATGCCTGTAAGTTTAACAAATACAATGTGAAATACAATGTGTGCTTGATTGAAATGGATTTGAACAATTTGAACTGAAGAAACCTTTATGGAAACCTTCATAACCTGATCAATACAGAATATTGTATGTTTGAAATTGAAGTAAGATTGGTTTTTTAAGCTGCTTGAGCAGCTGGTTTCTCCACTGAGAGAGAAACAAAGTCTGGGGCCCACTGATCTAATCCCTGAATTCGAACTCTATTTGTTTTATTGGGCTGTAAAAATATGTAACCAAGTCACTTAGAGATCAGATCAGATTGAAAAACAAAAGCAATTCGAGGTAAGTCTTTTCTTAATGACTTACTAGTTTGATTGAGGCAAGGAATCCAGGGTAAATGTCTGCCCATGTCTGGTGTATCCAAGATTGCAAATTGTGGCACCCCAAGAAAAGAATCAATGCTACTAGGCTCACAAGGTATTGATTTTCTAAAAAGATGCGCTCACCACACCAGTTACAGGAAAATGTATCGGAAAATGCAGGTTAGGGTCGTCATTCACAACAATCACGGCCCGTCTAAAGTTCAAGTTTCCATGGTCCTCATAGCTCTCTGAAGCTCCAGCGTTTATGTAGTCTAAGCTGATTACGACATCTGTTGTTCCACCTCCAGGCACATCATTCCAGACCACCGAACCTTGTCCCTCAGGCGCTATGAGAGTTGCGACTTTCACAGTACCCAACATTGCCACCTTTGCGGGAGCAACGACTTCGGCGGTATCGATTGTGAAGCGAGTCCAAGCCTTTGGAGGAGATGGTTTGGTTTCAGTCAGCTTTAGGAACAAGCTTCCGTGGGTTGGAATGACGCTTTGGTAGCTGCCAAGGCATGGAATGTAAAGACTTGAAAACATCAGCTAAAAATTGAATATGATTGTGTTTTGAAACCTTCTTGGACTGACACTTTTTCCTTGTGTCCTATATCAATCCCACTCCAAACATCTTGGAGCCGTGCGGATGAAAAGCCCATGTCATCAAGAGGTATATCTTTTATATCTTCGCCTGACCAGTTGACAATAACTTGAATCCAAAGAATTTGAATCAATTCACACTAGTGATCTGTGGTAGATTTGAAAAAAAAGTTACGTAGAAAAAAACAGGTGGCTTCTTACTTGCAACAGTGCTACCGTCTTTCATGGGCCCAGTCCATATATCTATATGGTTGGGGTATCGGCGCCTTAAAGTGATACTTTTCCCGAGGTCGTCTTGCTATATGAAAAATGAAAAACATGCATCACAGTTATACATCCAATCAGCACCAATCCTGTATAACCCAGCCATCAAATTCTTGAATTTCTGCTTACGTTGACTGCGATTACACGGCGATTCTTTAACATTTCAATGGTATCTTGATCCATGCGTTCCATGTCATCAGAAAAGATTAGAGGGGATCTTGAAAAGTGAGAAGAGTATTTTACGTGAGTTTACAGAGGTCATGCTGAATTGATCTATGAGGTCCCTCGGTAACTTTTTGAGAACAGGAAGAAAGGAAAAAAGTACTTTGCGGCGGCCCAAAAACTAAACATGGTCCTCTTCTCGGTCATGGTTAATTGCATTTTTCTGAATCTGGCAAGCCTCAGAAATCCAAGGTCATTGTATGCTCCAGGACGTGCTTGGTGAGCATATGGGACCACTCCGTTTAAAGTCCTGATGCTGTTTGATAAAAAAAAAAAACAAGAATAATCAGACGATCATGATTTTGAAGGTGAATATTTCTGACTGAGTCTTACAAGGAGTCCCAAGTAGGCAATTGTTCATCAGATACCCTCCAGCTATTAGCTTTTTTCTGTTGGGCCAATGGCGAAGAACCCCACTGCCCGGTGCTAATTTCCGTCCACCAGACTGATCAGTAGAATGAAAAATTTGATTATCTGGAAATGTTAAGTGAACTGACGCATAAAATAGTGAAGAACGGGTATTCCGTATTGCTTCTTGCATCGCAACGTAACGCGACTATAAGTTAGCGCAATGATTATTTAAAAAAAAAAATCAATAACAATCGCAAAACATTAGAACAACAAAGCACGTACATCTAATTCGTGGGCTTTCTCCGGATTTTGCAAAAATTCAGGTGTAGCCATGTCGCAACTTGAGAATAGCAAGCATGCGTGAGCCTCCAGACCAGCACGATTTGCAAAATTTAGATTTCTACGCAAGAAATAGTGCTCACGGTCTATGTATGAGATAAACCACACCCGCTTCAGCGATACTTTGAATATACCTGTTTAAGTCTCTTGGAGCTTCCATGCCTAGTTCGCTACTGGGTTGTGGGTCCCTGAGACACAGCTGCTTTCTAGAATCGTAGGATTTCATACACATCAGGAGTCACGTTTTCTCTTCAACACGCGAAAACACACTTGAAGAATTCTATAACCACTAACCCTCCCCATGTACCTAATCCGACATTTATTCCTAGTGGTTTAATCCATTGAATAAAGCTGTGTATACCGTTCGGGAAAGCCGCCTTTGAGAGCTGTTTAACGATAAATAATCATTTACTTTGGGGGGTCAATTCGAGAATTCTGGGCTCAATTACATTTTGAGAAGAAACAACGCTTACCTTGGGTGACCAATCGTCTTCGTAGCCTATCTCCCATGCACATTCGAATATGAGGGTTGTGTATCCGGCCTCGACAAGACCACGGCGGGCCATCTGCTCTCCCTCCCAATACATCTCGTCGTCAGTTATGATTTCACAACCTAAAGCCCAGTCCGAGCTCCACCCCATTGCAGCTACATAAGGAAACGTGTTCATAGGTATTAATTCAGTATCATAATTTGTATGATTATTCATATTTATATAAATCGTTTTCACTAACGTTTTGGGCCGGTTGGTGTAGCTTCATTGCGTGCCACTAGCTCGATGGGGTTTTCAGTGGTCAATCCAATGGTCAAGAGAGTGAAAATCAAAATCTCAACCCCTACGCGAAACCGTTGAGGATTGTTGGACCAGTGGTTCATTTTCAAGTGTAAATTTATGTTCTCCGCAGTGTTTTAGTCAAGTTTGATGCCCGTTTTTTGGAATCGAGCTCAATGTAGTATTGTGCTGAACAATGCACGATAATTGCTATGGGGCCAATATTCTGGTGTATTTTTACACAGTGTAACTGTTAGTGATTGGTTCTAGTTTAGAAATCCGCGCTGAGTCTTCTTGGTCATGAGTGAGTGTACCATGAATGTGTCAAGAATGATTTGTGATCTGAAGTATTCGATATATGGAAGAAAATAAAATTGTCTGTGATCAATGCGACTGTTATAAAGTTTGATGTGACGGTGAGTGTTATTGCGAAGAAATCCAACTAAGTATGATCGATTTGACGACCCGAAGGAAATAAAAGGATGGTGGAAAGTAAAGCACAATGTCCGAATTCCGTGATCCCAATCAAGATGTTAAAGCAAGACCAAAAAAAAAGAAAGGTGTGCATGGAAAGATGGGTAAGGCTCAAAGTCAGTACGTCGGCCAAAGTAGTGATATTCTTTTATATATTTTGGAATCCATCCCCAAGCACCAGTGCTTTCTGGATGACTTGATGGTATTCATGATGGTATCCGAGCCGCTTCGAACGTACTGGGATAAGAGGGTTGCCACGGGGCGTTGTCACTGGTAAACTATGGGAGACCTTACAATGAAGGCCTCCATAACGTAAAAGTCTCTATTCTACTGAAGGAGTCTTCAGTGCCTGGCTTGGGATGGTCACAGCGATGAGTCTATGCCGGAGAAGCTGATACACCTTGCAAGCTGACGGGGGCTGAGTCTATCGGGCGCCGGACGGTATAACGACGGCTGGAGGTTTGACCGGGCCGCATCATCACCGGGACGGGAGGGTCCCCAATTTTGTCAGGTTTCACCAGGTGGTTACAGTCACCGCAAGCTTACAATACAGTTTCCAAAGCCGTCAGAGCCCCGGAGAGGCGATGTTAGTCATGATGAGGCCAACTCCTTACGGTCTGCGCAATGTGACTCGCACCACTCATCCATAGGGCAGGGGTCTTGTCAGGTGAAAATTGGTTGCATTACAAATGTCGGCTAAATGTGTATGAGTGGGTAGCTGTCCAGCACCTTATTTCTGCAATCATTCAACTGTCCAGGTAGTTTTTGAAACATTGAAACGATCATTGTGATTAGTCAAGGGGATGCAAGAAGTGAACCCAAGCCATTCCGCTACGGACGCTTCAAGTGCCTGCAAGAAGCAACATCGAGCAGATGCGCTTGCAGTTATAAGCTGATCTTGTGGCCAACACATTTTGAGAATATTTATATAGAGATCGTGTGCTCATCATCTCATGTAGGAGTACTTCAAACATCATCGTGAAGCGGGTGATCGGTATCGAGCAAGAGTTTTTTAGAGGAAGATAATTTTGGATGGACATGAGTCGAAAGAGTGAGCCCCATGAGCATGACTATTGCCAGTAAATCGAATTCGTCGAGAGTAGCAATATGTCCAAGATACTCAGACGATAGTGAAGCCGATGATACGTTTTAATATTTTCGCACACCACCATGGGTTCGACGGATGTTCCGTTTCTTCTTGCCTTTCTTCCATTGAAAGAGTTCACCAACAAGACAACTCAACTGACATCCAGAGATAAGAATGATAGGTAATTGCTGAAGATTGATGTATTTATCTGCGCACAGTTTTTTGAGAGATAACAATCGATCGTCCGAGAAGAGGGATGATCACTTCAGTGAACAGTTCTCCAGTCTCTTGCTCAGTCAAAATATCAAGTCTCATTATCAAGTGTATGTTAGCTTTTGAGAGCTGGTCTGATAAGTTCTCTTTTAATTCTCAGTTCGAAATCGTTTGTCCGAATGTTTCTTGTTTATTTTTTTCTGAATGTCAGTTAAAGGAACACAGCAGTTTCCCTGAACCATTTTCTTGGTGGGAGTCGACAGCCGTTGGGTCATGAGCCTCTCCCTATGGACTGTTGGTCATCCTTCTTACCTTCATCGATCGTAAATAATTGGCATCCAGTTCAGCTCAAACCAAAAAAGAAATCCCAGTTGGTTTCTGATTCCATTAGTGCTCTCTCTCTCATTATAGACCTCTGTTGACCATCCCCACCGAAACTGAACGACTTCCCCAACATCAGCCTTATCATTAACTCATCCATCCATCCACTTATATCTCTTCTCATGGACCGTTCAGATCCAGATGGAAGTCCTCTCGCAAAGAAGAGGCCAGCTACTCGAAGGAAGTTCGCCAAAGAGGTTTACAAACCTTCAAACCGTTTATTACCTCCCAACAAGTGAGCAAGCAAGCATCGCCTCTTAGTTTCCCATTCATTTCTTTCATCACCTCAAAAACTGGCTGGTTGAATTTGCTATTGATCCACTTTATCTTATCTCTCTCAAGACGACTTTGGGCCAGCGAAAACGCCAATGATGTATCGGAAGATACGGCTTCATCCAAAGAGCTTCAACAAGCTACAAAGCCACTTCCTCTCAAGAAGGGAAAGAGTAAAGCCAAAGAGGAGAGCGACTTGAAGGTAAATTGTCTCCTTCTTTCTATACAGTTTTCGTCACACAGCTTGACATCAATTGGATTGCGAGTCTTTTAGGAGAAGCAGAAACCAGGACGAAAGATTGCAAGTAAACCGGTCAAACTATCAGACAAGTCGAATGCGCAGAAGGAAGTCACGTCCCGACCGAGCGGGAGAGTGACGAGGTCCTCGGCCATGACCAACACTCGAGTTGGAAGATCAAAGATGGACGTGTTGGACGAGGCCGAGGAGAAGCGGGCGGTGGAAGGCGAAGGCGAAGGCGAAGTCGAAGGAGCTGAGGATGGAGAGGAGCAAGATCATTTCTTGGATGTCTCAGCCGACCATCGGATCCACCCTTTCTTCAGAACCAAGAAACCGACTCAACAATCCTTAGGCGCGGACGTAACGCTAACGTTCGATATCGATCGTCACGCTCGGGCGCTTGCCGATTGCTCACCAATCCCTCGAATCGGACACCAAGGTGGGGACGACGGGAGTAGTCTCAATGCGGGGATGAGCAAGAGGACCAGGCCGGTCGATCATTCGCCCGCTCCGCCATCGCCGGCTGTCAAAAAACCAACACGAGCTAAGGTCATCAAGCCTTCTAAACCTTCAAGGGAGCCGTCACCACCCAAGAAACGCGTCCGACGACAACCTGGAACCAAGTCTTCAAAGCCTAAGGTCTCTGAGACGCCTCTAAGCGATGATCCATTGATGATTTAAGCATCAGGAGCTCGTTAATTTACACATCTTTATTATGGATCTCATATCATAAACATTTTCGATCTATGAACTCATTTCCAATTAAATATTTTTCACCGGCTTATGAAGTATTTCTTTCTTTTGATTGCTTATTCCAGCTATTCAGACGAATGAAAAGATGTGGGTTTGAATCAGTAAATTGTAGGCATTAGCTGTACAGTAATTTTGTCACGAATATGGACCATCTATCTCAGCATTTATCTAAGGAGTATTGATATGATCGCTCTACGCATAGCACTCTAGGAAGCTACAATATAACTTATCATTAACCTTTTTTCTTATGTTCTCACATGAAGCCAAGAGCTGGACGTCAGATAGCTTACACTGAAGCTATGATCAGGGTGGCTTTTAAGGGTCTGGAGGGTCTGCTATTCCCTTCCTTGCTGTCAAGTTTTACACCCATCTGAACATGTAATGGGCGAAGGTCTGCATATCAACATATCATCTTTATAGAAATTTTCGATTTCTGATTGGTATCGGTAGTAACTTTTCAAACCATGCGTGAATGGATTTTCTGTATGATCATATTCTGGGCCTTAAGTTTTTTTTGGGTTAGGAGTCCAAAATCTCTGGAAACACATGCACTTAAAATATTTCAAAGTTGTGCAAAATGAAACATATTTCTTAAGAGTCTTGGAAATGGCACCGAAAGCAGTCTTAGTAGGAGCGGTCTGGGATACTAGCCGGTGGTTTATGATGCTGAGATGACGGCCAGGTGATCCCGCACACCTTTGTCAGCGGTCCTCACAGGCCAGCTCAGCCCGGCTACCTACTTGTGCCTCTACCCAGTGGTTTCCATTTGCTTCTTGGGTGGGGCATGCGCCGAATTCCACCTCGTCTGCTAGCCTAGTAATTTTTTTTCTTTTTTTTTCAGTAAAATCGGACGCGTCTCCGCGCCGCCCAGCCCATTCAATTAGCCGACGCGTCTTCTGATAGCACCCGCCAACCAATCAAGACATCCGCCTGGGTCAGATGCAAGAGTCAAAGACCAGCAAAGGTACTCTTATCGGCTGGGTGCGCTTGCCAAAACCGCGATCCCGGCTTAGAAAAGGGTCAAAGCCATGGCGGTGGGCTGGTACTCCATCAGTCGGAGTCAGAATCGGTCCTTGCGTCCCGGCCAGTCCTGGTTGGTTTCAAAACGTTTGCGATGGCTGTTATGAGAATCCGGATTTTCTTTCCTGTCGGGCCAGCCATCTGGCTTGCCTTCAGAGTCCTATAAAAGAGGCCATGTTTTTCTTCTTTCCTTATCCTTCATCCGCTATCATTACCAGCTTTCAAAAAACGACCTTCAGTCTACAAAAAAATATCCAAAATCATCCTTACTCTTGGATTGACTTACTCCCACAAAAAAACCTGGTTTCTATAGCATAATCCCAAGCTTCTCAGATTGAACTTTTAAAAGCACAAATCAAGTGAGTCCCCATAATTGCTTCAAAATGAACCAGTGTTCGTTGTTCGTGTTCTTTTTTACTGATTTTCTTACTTAATTTTTGATAGATTCATACCCCTAAATACATAAAGATGTTGGTAATTCGATCAAACTTCTGTCTTCTTCCGACACCACTAGAGCCTTCAGTTGCTCAATCAGTCGCAGTGAAGTCAATCATTCAAAGGAATCTCTACCGGCACGCAAAGGTCGAGCTAGGCATATACCTTTTGTTGGACTCAGCACCAACAGAGAGCAATGGCACTCTATCCGCCCTATCCTTCACTGGACAGCAATCTTCTTCTTCAACTGAAGACTACTGGAACGATTCTTCGGAAACTTCGATCTCTTTCGACGAATTCATACCCTCTCACCTTTACACCCCTCGGCGGTTGCCGATAACTCAATTGATCAAGAACTGGTGGCGATACCGTTAACTCAATCACAAACGTCTTGGGTTCCAAACTACAAAAATACTCGAGGACGAGTGGCTCGCCTTCAGATCTGATGACATTTGGATTATGTTTTGGCAGCTTTCCTAATTTCAGGGATCGGGATGCTACTCCAACGGCACAAACAATCAACAAAGGGGAAATGTCAAACAGCGCGCAAGGTGCAGACAAACCCTTTCCCCTCTCTGGAATTCGCCTGAATTGAAATTTCGAGCCGTAAATCATGATCATTTCTATTTTAAAAATCAGTTACAAAAATCTGTCGTCTGTCTTCTTTCTGTGAACAGAGTTTAACTCTCCAATCCGTCTCTTGCATTACCCTTAATCTAAGTGTTTTCTCCAGCCCTTCTTTCCTCTTTTTCATCCATTACCTAGCATCAGTTTCTGTGTCGCTTTGAGTTTTTTGTCCGGTTTTCTGTTTCAGTCTTATCTCTTATACATTCTAATTTCCCTCTTTCTAGTCGTTCCTTCATGTTATTCAGCTAGCTTTGATTTCTGCAATCCTAATATGAAATTTTGTTTGAACACCAAATCCATTAATTGATTGATGTTAATGCGCCGATTTGGAACCTCACCTGAAATCTGAACAGGCTCATTACAATCAAGCAATGTGTGGATTTCAAAGTAGGTTTGATGTGATCTTATACCAAGCAAGAATTCCATTCCTCAAGTTTGATTTATCAGAGGAATTTGAAACACTAGGTTGCTCCAAGGGAGTAATTAAGGTTTGATGTAATGCTAATATTAATTCTTAGTGAGCAGAAAAGGCATATCTACCATGTTCTGTCTGTTTTTTACATTATTTGTGCAGGTTTCGAAGTTGGGTAACGTCACCTGGATCAACTTTTTTGGGAGAGGTTCGGGCTGCGGCTGCGGGGTTTCCGGACGACTTTACGTCGCCCCCGCATCCACACAGGCCGATGAATATCCATCCATGTATCTCAAGCCCCCGGTCTGAACTCGAGCCCTGGACTTCAATCCATTCGAAACTTTCCTCAACAAATTTCTTCCAGCATCCATCATCTGACCCCATTTAACATATCGTCTTCTCAAAATGGTAAGCAACATTTCCACCCTCCATAGTCCTACAGCAGTATTAACGGGTATTACTTTGTGTCCTGCTCATCCCTTTGCGAAAAAAAAGCCTAAAGCCCAGAAATTCAGAAAGTTTGCGGCCGTTAAGAAAATGATCAATCCGAATGACTCGCGATTGAAAATCAACAAGGAGAAGGAGGAAGAGAAAAAGAAGAAGGCAGAAGAAGCCGAAAAGAAACATGTGTAAGCTTCCGTTTATGAAAACTGAATAAATGATATAATGACCACAATGGGAATCTAATTATTGTTGTTTTTTTTTTTTTTTTTTCGGTTTCTTCAGGGCTCCACCACCGACATCGATGTTCTTGACTCATAACACGGCACTGGCACCTCCCTACCGAGTTCTGGTCGACACCAACTTTCTGAATCTATCACTCACCAACCGGATCGATCTGATCAAAGGGATGCTGGACTGTTTATATGCCAAGGCGATCCCATGTGTCTCGGATTGTGTTTTGGCAGAGCTGGAAAAACTTGGAACCCGATACCGATTAGCGCTCAACCTTGCCCGAGATCCCCGAGTCGAACGGCTGCCTTGTTCCCATCGCGGTACATATGCAGACGATTGCATCGTTCAACGGGTTACCGCTCATCGTTGTTATATCGTCGCTACATGCGATCGAGGCCTGAGAAGACGTCTACGGAAAATTCCTGGAGTTCCGGTTTGTTCTTCCCTACTCCCTTTTTCCGCTTCTTGCCTTCACAGTCACACTTGCGTTCTGATTACGGTCTTCTTGATAGTTAATGTTCATCAAAAGGAAGCAATATGCAATCGAACGACTCCCCGATTGTGGACTACCCTCTTGAGCCGAAAACATACACTTATTGGTCAACTTGGCAGCTCCCATTTCCATAAACCATCGCATCGCAAACCTCACACAGATTTCCCTTTGTAAAACCAATGATCATTAGAAAATATAAAGAAAAAAAAACATAATCAACTGAAAGACATTCAAACTCGAAGGAGTGAGAGTATCCATAAATAACAGGGATGACAAAAAACTGGTTGGAGGGAAGAAACTCTATCAAGATTTTACTTCCAAGAAGCTTTTCTCCTGGGTATAATCAATTCAGATTGTCACCAGTGCTTGCTTGTGATGTAATTTTGGGTGGTTCCTTATAGAAGGAGAGAGTTGGGCCACGATTCTCTCTCAGCCAGGGGATTGACTTGACTAGCTGCCCATGATGCCCCTGGTTGGTCTTCCTGTTGCACTCTGAGACATTCCAGAAATGTGCAGTCTTTCAGACTTGCTCCAAAGGCCCTCAAAGACTTTTATAGTGTTGCAGTGAAACACTGATGACTACCTGCTTGTCTCAGCAGAAAGGAAACACTTGGCATGCATGCTCTAGGGCATAGCAAGGACAAAGCACAGTGAACTACAGGCTTTTAGGATATAAATACAGATTGGTTCAAGTTATAGAAAGTGCACATACATGAGTAAATACTTATCAACATGGAAAGCACTCAGGCCCATAAACTTCCTTTTACAGGAACTTCCCACTAAGAGTGGAACACCTTAGATTATAAATATCCTGTATTGAATTTTTCCTTTACATTCCAGTTTCATCTTCATAATCTTAATTGCCATCTTTTCTGAAATTGATCATATATCTAGCCATATAACCCATACTAATATCCATGGTATTAATCAAATTTTTGGTTGCCTTGCAGCTCTTAAATTACCATAATGCTTCAGCAAAAACCCTTCCACTTTCAAAAGCTCTGGAAAAGAGGGCAATAGAATCTTTAGAAGGGGCTAACCACGGGCCCTTGGGAAGCAGGCTAGGGAGGGAAAATCAGGAGGGTAAATTTTTTGTCTTTTTTTTCAGAGGATTATTTGATTTCAGGATCATCTTTTGGGTTGTTTTACAATTCTGAAAGGGGATTTTTCATTTTTCAGCGGCTGAATTTTTTTCAAGTTGAAAGGCAGGGTGTAGGTCTTTCTTGTTGCCTTGTTCAAAATTTCTGGATTTGTCAGTAATGTTTTTGTTGAACTTACAGGTTTCAGCTTATTCATATTGTTCTCTCTCTCTCGGTATTGAATAATAAACCTAGTTAGATGGACAATATGTAGTCCGCAGCATGTGCACAGTAGACCTAGTTGATTCTGTTATAAGACCGATAGTTCATCTCTTTTGTATCGGTTCTCTAACCAACTCAACTTGTTCTTTACTCACACCGCTCGTACTGCCTCAACCTGCTCGGTTTAGGTCCGTTTTCTGCTTCTCCCTCTTTCACTTTATCTGTTTCATTTGATCTCATGGCTAGTGTCTTGCTTTCAGGTTTTCTCTCTCGCTCCGTTGTCACCACTCGTGTTTGCTTGTGTCTAACAAAGCTCTATCACCATAAAGGTGTGCAAGCTCTAGTAATTTCAACCAACTCAACTTGTTCTTTACTCACACCGCTCGTACTGCCTCAACCTGCTCGGTTTAGGTTTGCTCTCTCGCTTCGTTGTCACCACTCGTGTTTGCTTGTGTCTAACGAAGCTCTATCACCATAAAGGTTTGCTCTCTCGCTCCGTTGTCACCGCTCGTGTTTGCTTGTGTCTAACAAAGCTCTATCACCATAAAGACTTTACTGTCTAATAGTTTTTGCTATTTCAAATGCTGATAGTTGATGATTGTTGATTCATCAATGTGTAGCTCAAAGTTTTGAACATGCAGACTGTTAGTATTCTGTTTCTCATCAATTTAAATTTCTCTATCCAAGTGGAACTCTGACTCTTAATTCATACACATCTTAACCTGGGGATTTGATCTACACTCAAAATTTAGCTTCCCCCAACCACTTGAGTGGTAGGCAATATTGCATGATTTTAATCTTCCCTCTGATCTGATATGCAAAGATTGCAACTTTGCTGAATCTTACATCCCATCCACCCCATCTTGATTTTGGAAAGATGGATCATCTCAAATGGACACTGAACTAGATATATACAAAACAGGAAGACTACCCAAGAAATTACTAGGAAATACCCAATTCACAGAAGATTATGAAATTTTTTCACAAAATTGTGAAATTGAAAGACAGGATATGTTCCTTTCACTCATAAAGAGACATTTCACTGAGGGGTAGAAAGATAGAAAAATCTGTGGAATATGCTCACCAAGACTTTGACATGTTCTGGGCAATTTTGAATGATTCTGAAAAGGAAAACTTAAAGAGTTTCAAGAATAAGTATAAAACGGCCCTTTATCCATTACCATCTAGAGATTGTTTGTTTGTACTCGGGTACCTGTTGGTACCTAGGTACCTGTTGAATTTTTTCAAAAAATAGGTACCAAGTACCACACCAGGCACCTCCCGGCGGGTACCAGCGGTACTTTTGGCTGGTACCGCGGGTACCTCCCCTCTCTTTCTAACCTAGGTTCACTTTCAGATTACCAAGTCACTTTATTATTATTTTTTTTCATATTTATTGTAAAATATCAGTCCCAAGTCACTTTTTTTCCATTCTTTCATATTTATTGTGAAATGTTGACAACAAATTGGAAGAATCCTACTTTTTTATTATATTTTCATATTTATTGAAAATATCATTCCCAAGTCACTGTTTTTCCTTTTGTCATATTTGTTGTAAGACATCTTAAACTAATTGGAAGAACCTTACTTCATTATTATTATTATTTTCATATTTATTAGGGGGTATCAAATATAACCAAATCCACCCTTTTTTAATTGACTGGTTTTGAAAAAACCACCATTTTTTAAACATGTTGGTTCTTCATCCTACCCCTTTGTGGACCAATTGGTGGAATTTTCTTTTTGGATAATTGAATGGTTTCTAATGGTGGATTTCTTATATTTGATACCCCCTATTGTAAAATATTACTCAAGTCACTTTTTTGGCATTTTTTTCATATTTGTTGTCAAGTATCTACATCTAATGAGAAGAATCTTGCCTTTTTTCATATTTATTGTAGAACATCAATCCCAAGTCAATTTTTTCATTTGTTCACATTTAATAATTTATTCTAAAGCTTAAACTGTCTACAAATTATATCTAATTAGATTATTAGAAGAATCTTCATTGTTGTCCAAAACTATCACCTTCCTTTTTGATTTTTGGTTAGACTTCTTGTTATCCTTGAGTCCCTGTTTCCATGTAGCCAAGGTACCTTCTTAGAGTTCTTGGAGTAGAAGGCCACCGTCATTTTGGTAGGGAAGTGAGGGGGTACCTGTAGCGGTACCTGGGTACCTGTTCAATTTTTCACAAAAATAGGTACCAAGTACCGCACCTGGCGGCTCCCGACGGGTGCGGGGCGGGTGTGAAGGGTACCCCCCAAGTGGTACTAGGTACCTAGCAAAGGGTACCACGGAACGATCTCTATTACCATCTAAAGCTGTGGTATCAGATGATTTACATGCCTCTCCTTCTTCTGAAGAATCAATTTGTAAGCAGTATCAAGCATAGTTTTAATTCATTAGCAAAGGAAATACCAACTCTGGGAACTCAAACTCATCATCAACAAACTTTCTTTAACCAAAACAAAAATGAAATGAAAAAAGTTAAAAGTTAAGATGATTCCATTAAGGAAAAAGTTGTAAATTTATTGTCCAATTTTGATGGTTCTCAGAATTTCAAGTTATCAAGCATCACAAAGAACAATTTTGAAACAGTATCAAATCATATCCCAGAAGTGATACATGATTCTCTCAAAGAAATTAGCTCTTTCCTGGCAGATTTAAATGATTCAAAAAAGAAAACCTTCTGGAAATTCATGGTGGAACAGGAAGATGTCTTTGGATTTCAGAATCTATATTCAATTAATCTCAATGATTCAAATCTGGAAAAGCTTTTAAATGATTTACTTTCCAAGTTAACTGAACCTGAAGCTTATAAGTGGTTGACTTTTTTTGTTGGTTCCTTTGCAATTTTCCCATGTGAACCAGGAATAAACTTGATGGAAGAAGCTCATAGAAGACTAGTGATTATGCTTCCATTTTTCAATCAATTGTCCCGCAAACACTTCTTTGAAACACTTCAAATCTTGAAGAATAATGAAAAGATCAGAACAACTGAAGTCTCCCAGTCTTAAACCCTTATCTGGAGTTTTCTATCAATACCTGTAATTGGATTTAGAGATCGTTCGTTCGGACCTGGGTACCTGTTTATACCTAGGTACCTGTTCATTTTTTCAAGAAAATAGATACCATGTACCGCACCAGACACCTCCCGAGGGGTACCCAAGGTACCTGTTGCAGGTACCTCAGGTACCCCCCCTCTCTTTTTCACCTAATTTCACTCCCAGAGTCCCAAGTCACTTTATTATTATTATTATTATTATTTCATATTTATTGTAAAATATCACTCACAAGTCACTTTTTTGGCATTTTTTAATATCTGTTGTAATATATCTACATCTAATTGGAAGAATCTTAATTTTCTATTTTTTCATATTTATTGTAAAACATCAGTCCCAGATCACTTTTTCCATTTGTTCTTATTTAATAATTTATTGAAAAGTTGAAACTATCTAAAACTTATAACTAATTGGAAGAATCTTCATTGTCATCCAAAACCATCACCTTCCTTTTTGATTTTTTGTTAGACTTCTTGTTATCCTTGAGTCCCTGTTTCCATGCATCCAAGGTACCTTCTTGGATCTTGGAGTTCTTGGAGTAGAAGGCCACCATCATTTTAATTTTTGGTAGGGAAGTGAGGGGGTACCTTTAGAGGTACCTAGGTACCTGTTCAATTTTTCACAAAAATAGGTACCAAGTACCGCACCTGGCACCTCCTGGCAGGTGCAGGGCGGGTGCAAGGGGTACCCCCCAGGAGGTACCAGGTACCTGCAAAAAGTACGGACGAACAATCTCTAATTGGATTCTTGGATGAGTTATTCTTTGTGGTATGGTGAATGCCTTGTGTTTTTGAAAAAAAATTAAAATGAAAGGCATTCTTGAAAAATATACATTTTTATTGGAGCCTACCATTACTTTTCCCCTTTGCATCAATTGTGACATTATCTTTCTTGGATGTCTTTAAAATTGACAAGAATATCTCCCTTCAAACAAATAAGTTCTGAAGAAAATCCATAGTCTGTTTCTTAGGTGATTATTGGTGTTGTATAGATCTCAGGGGAAGGTTTCAAATAAAAAAAATTCTCATAGATTTTCCCTTTCTATTTCATGTTATTGGTATTTTTTTTTTCTTCCTTGTTCAAATATTTACGATTTTTCTCCTGGAAAGAATGAATTCATGTAGATGAATTTCATTGTTGAACACTTTTTTCATACTGAAAAAAAGAAACAATCAGAGTTTCTTAAAAATCTCCTTTCCTTTCTTCCCACTAACATGGTCAATTCAGCACTTTATTTGCGTGGCAACAGGATCCTTAGGTTTTGAAAGTAAAAGACTGCCAGTGTAGCTGGGTGAAACATCAATATTTCTGCCTGTACCTATTGGGAAAAACATTGGTTTCCCACTGGCCCTGAGGCAAATTCTTCCAACAGATTGGTTTTACTGGGCCTTTTTTTCTTTTTATGTTTGCTGTTCCTCACATTTTTTTTCTGGTTTGCTATTATTTCCCCTTTTCAACGGTGGGCCAGCTACTCTAACTGTAGCGTTAGCGTAGCGTAGTGTAGCGAAAAATTGCTACAATGTAGCGTAGCGTTAGCGCTTTTTTCATTTTCAGCGCTAACGCTACGCGCACGGGGCAAAACAATGCGCTAACGTTTAGCGTAGCGTTAGCGCAATTCTCCCCATCTGCGCTAACGCTACGCGCACAGGGCGCAAAAAACCGCCCGCTACGCTGCGCTACAGCAGTTTTTAGCGGTTTTTTGGCGTTTTTTGCCGCTAAAAACGCTGTAGCGTAGCGGCGCCAGCGGGGCGCTAACACTACACCAAAAAATGGCTAGTGTTAGCGCCGCTACAAGTTAGCGTAGCGCAGCGGCCGTAGCGGCGCGCTAACACTACACGAAAAAAAAAAAAATTTGGTGCCGCTACGCTAACGCTACATGGGCCCGTAGCGTAGTGTAGCGTAGCGGCCCACCGCTGCCCTTTTCCCCCATTTTTTCTGTTTTTTCTGTTTTTTCTGTTTTTTCTATTTTTTCTTTTTTTTATTCAGATCCAGTTTGGGTTTTGCCTTTTATTTTCTCATGTTTTTCTGCTTTTTCTTATTTATTTTTTTTGCCTGGGTTCTGGTTTGATGTATTAGCCTTTGGCATATCAACCCCAATTGACACAAGCTGGATTTGTGAACATGCGCAAAGCTCATACCGGCTGGTAGTCATCCCAAAGTCGATATGGGCAGTCTTTGGTGATGTGTCGGAATGACCCACACTCCTCGCAGGGCTCTGCAGTTTCGTGGACTGTTGTCAAGCCCTTTGCGGCAAGGCTGGTTGATGCGCCGGTCGTTGAGGGCGCGGTGGTTGTTGCTCCAACTTCAAGGAGCGCAGCCGAGATTAAAGCCGTAGTGAGCATGAAGCTCTTCATGGTTGTTTGAGTTCTTGTGAAGGCAGGGCAAGGACGATAGCTGAAGGTTCGAACACAGGTGTTGGTGGCTGGATGGCGAGGTACAGTTAGGGAAGTGAGGCTGCTTGCTGAAAGCGTTATGTGAGGGGATGAAGGCGAGGGTCACTTGGTGGGTTAAGTATCGAGCTGGCCAGGTTTCAAGTCTCCCAAAGCTGCAGCAAGGTAGGAGCAACATCTCAACTTCGGCTTCAATTCCTTCAATTAAACTAAACATAATGCCTTATGAATCATGTACCTGAGGGAAATCAACCTCCACATCTACAGTCTAACAAATCCCTGGAATTGGTCAGAAAGGAATCACTAAAAATGCCGCTCTAGTCTTTTGACCTTTGTTCCATATTTAAAATTATCAGAAATTTTGCTGTGATTTGGTAAGCAGGTCCCAGACAAAAGTCATGGCTGGTTTAATTATTTTTATGAATTGATGAATCAAATTTGAATACCCATTTTTATCTTCAGGACTTCAATCGTAAAATACCGTGCTTTTACTATGATTTCCCATATTATCAAACAAAATGCTTGCTCTTGGTTCTCATCCCTATCACAAAAAAAGAGGGTTCAAGGCAGCAAAAAACATCACCAACCTGAAAATATCAATGAAATTCATGTTTGTGTGGAAGAAAAGTCACATTTTGAAGGTTATCAGTTTCAAAGGTTAACAAAAATAATCAAGAGGATTTTTTTTCTTGGTACTTGATAACTCAAATAATCAATTCAAGGTTTTATGATGGAAATTAAGAATTTCTTGGTAGACTTGGATTATCCCAGAAAAATGGTATTCAAAGTTGGATCATAAATGTATAAAATTCAAAATTACTGGAAATCTTCTGGAAATCTCTGCAGAAACAGATAGATAAACTTGACTATCACGCTTGAATGATGCTGTCATCCAAGTGTTTTGAATCTTTTTGCTGATAAGTATAGATGTATCTTAGAAAAAAACAAAGAAGAATCTCTTCCTGAAGGATTTCAGTAGTTTTGGTAAAGATATAGAGAGTGAATGATTTATCTGGAAAATTCACACAAATGTGAAAAGAACAATCCCTTTGGAGGAAGGTAATCAGTTGAGCTTATAATTTGAGCACTCCAAATAACCCCAGCTTACCAACCACAGATGAAGCCAGAAATTTACTTGAATCAATCACTAGTTCCCACAGTCTCTTACCCTATAGATAGATTCAAATGAGATTTGACACAAAGAATTACTACTCTAGATTTTTCATCCTCTTTGATTCAGAGCTTCTCCCATCTCTCTTAATATTATTCTTGATTTTGAAAAATCATTTCAACCCAAGGATTTATTTCCAAAACAAAATTTGTAACATTGAGCCTGTTTCTATTGTTATATCATCTCCAGATAGGAGATTTCATCAAAATATCATCCATGTTTGATTTCATTGTTGAATTTTGTAATAATTACTTATTTTCCCTTATTCTGAATTTACATCATTCTTAGGTAGATTAGACATCAATTGGTGCAGTGTTTTATTGGGTAGGCATAAATTTGGAAACTTTTTCTGTTGAAATAATTGAAAATCAGTAGGAGCCTTCTACCCAATGTAGGATCTGATATCTTCTCTTTCAAGACCTTCAATCAGCTGTATGAGTGATGTTGTCAACTGGATGTGGGGAAGGCTGGGGATCACAAAATAGTGTTGAATCAACCCAAGGTAGGTAAGAAGGATCAAGAAAGACACCAGTTGGGATGCCAAGTTGCTCCCAGGAGATCATCATGAGCTTGTGTTGGAGGGTTGAGTTTTTTTTTTTTGGTGAGAGATGACAGTTGAGTGAATTGTGTAACACTGTCCCCCTGGTTTGAGTCTTGACTCTTGGCCGGCCAGCAGTCCTCGTCACATTTCAAACTACCATCTTCGATCAGTGTAGTACCACCTCATCCTCCTTATGGCTCTGACTTCCAATCAACGCTTCGGCTTAAGGATCCTGGCTGGACTGGCGGGGATCTGGTTCCTGAAATCTCTGCTATTTTCATCTTCAAAGGTATCTATCCATCTACCCTTTATCCTTAATCTCGATTTTCAATTATGTAAACTGATGGCTCGATTTTGTTTTGTTAGAGGAACGCTTCAGTACAGTCAGAGATCGCGATCGCCAACGTCTTCGAGAGGGTCACCAGTGGAACGCCGCTTGGTTCATCAGCACTGAACCCGCAGAGATATCCATTCCTGCAGTCGCGCATAGGCAGGGACGATACTCAGGACCTTTTCGACACCGATATCCATGCCGGTCTCGAGGACTTTTGGCAGAGGTTCCAGCTCCCGTTTGCCACTGCACCCGAGACGGTCCATCTGGACGAACAGGTCATCAAGGGAACCGTCGAGGAGCTCCTGGCCTTCAACGGATGGGCTGCAGCTGCTTGTACCACCCTGACCCGTCCCTATGCCAGTGACTCAGAAGATCCCTACTCTGATCTCACCAAACCCGGCCAACGCTATTTCTTTGCCCTCGTCGTCCATTCGGCCGATCACTTCTTCATCGATCAACTCGCGGTCGTCGTCCAGGCTGCCCGCAAGCTAGGCACACAAGCAATCTTTGTCTCGATCGTCGACTATGCCAGTACCGACTCGATCCCCTTCCTCTGTGATCTCGCCGAGGCTGTCATGGTCCTCCTCGGAATCCCATTCCGAATCAGAAGGGTCCCCCCGATGACATCCGATCCTGCTGCCTCTTATTACCCTCTCGAAGAAGCCTATACTCGTAATCTAGCCCTCGAACCTCTCTTTGAGCTCTACGAACGTCGCCAAGTCTCTTTCATCCGTGTGATCTGGCTCAAGGGTTTCACTTGCCCTAATGATATCCTTGAAACACTCCGGATCAGTATCATGAACCAAGCAGCAATGGTCTGTGGCATGGATTGGAAAGAACACAATGGCTTCTTTATCTACAATGATCGGTTTGTACTGCTCATTCAGATTGCATCATCCTTAACACTCGCAGCTGCAAGGCCTATACTAACTACATGGATTCTCCTCTTACAGATGGCGTACCAGAGATTTGGATGGAAACCTATTTCGAGGATCCAAATCGACATCTCCGATCGACGAAGCCCCTCCCCGTGATCAAGCTAGCGCAGCACGCTACCAACAGCACTTGCCCTTCCAAGTGTTTTGTTGTGAGTCTGGCTCGCACATTGTCGATCCGATGATGACGTATTACGCAGGCATCCACTACCGATCATCGGTTGCAGGAGTATTCAATATCACTTCGGCGGGTTCAGGCAAGTCGCCGGTATGGACGGAAGGTCCTTGCATGGACTCATCGCAGATGCACTTCTGTCGAGATATCTGGCTCATGTCCGCTAAGGAAGGCGTCAAGGAAGCTGCCCGGGATGCGAAGCAACGCGCCAAGGCTGGCAAGCCTCGCGGGCTTTCGAGAGAGCTCGAAGATTTGATCCGGGTTGTTGCTCCTCGTCTGTCAATTCCGGTCGAAGAACTTCCTCAGCCAACTCGGTCGACCCAGTCCTCGCCCTCGGCCGAAGAAAATGCCAAACACGCCAAAGACAAGCAGGGCAACATCGACCTTGTCGACCATAACGCACTTCTCCCTCAGGCTGACTTTGACCAGACCGACGGCGTCGGAGCAGGACGCGACTTGGCCGCAAATGAGGAGAAGGAGGCCGCTAAGAAAAAGGAACAGGATACCCTCGAGGTCCCCATCGTTCCCGACGAGAAAGCCGTCGGTGGGAAGCCGCTCCCCAAAGGCCAGCAAAAGGTCAAGCGAGACGAGCTCGTCGAACCCCCTGTGGGAGAGCTCAGTCCGGAGGAAGACATCAATGAATCTCCAGAAGGAAAGACTGCGGATGAACCCGTCAAGCAAGGAGAGGAGAGTAGACCGACAGAGCAAGGGGAACCAGCTGGGTCTGAAAAACAGGAAGGCCAGGTGGGAGAACAACCAGGGGAGTCGGCGAAAAAAGAGCCGATCCCAGTGGAGGAAGATTATGATGATTCGGAGGAGGAGGAGGAGGAGACGGGGGTGTTGAGCCAGACCTCGACGATCCCCAACTCGGACCTCAAGCCCGCCCGGATCCTCGTCAACCCTCGCTGCATCACTACCTATGCCGGCGTCTCTCACACTAAACTCGCTCTCGATCTCTTCGGATCCGGCGATGACGTCGAACCCTCCCGCGAGTTCGGAGGCAAATATCACTTCTCTGATGAGAAATTTGTTGGCGCACCTAACGCTTTCGTTTGTCAGGAAATGAGAACCACCGGTGGTCAGTCTTCTCCTCTCGCCAATCTTTTGCCCCCCCCCCATCGCAGAATCGGGCTTATTTTTTTTTTGAATGGATTTTTTGTTTCATAGGGAGGTTGTCTACCAAACAACAACGAAGGACGAATTTCCATATCAGCAAAACTCTCAGAGCTGGTTGGAGACCAGGAGACTACGTTTAAAATATTTCCACCCGGAAGAAAAAAACCATTGAGGTATAAAAAGCTTACATGAAAAAATAGAAGGTCAATGAATGAAGTTCACCCATGGGCCATTTCCCTACCACCACAAATAGACCTGTCTGAGCTTCACTTTATTTTAGACCAATAGATAGAACAATCAAGGCTTAATTTATCTCAACAAAAAGTTGTGAACTAGAGCATGATATAATTTTGATTTTCTTTTTGTTGTTCTATATGTCTATGTATAACTATATTTGATAAAAAGATTCTGTTTATTTATTTGTTTATGGGCTTGTGTAAACAAGCGGTGATAGTCAATGTGGTAACAATTACGTTTAGATCAGTGCTCAACACAAACACACCCATAAAACCTCTATAGATCATCAGCTTTGTTGTATATATGTGTGTGTCTTGAAGCTTTGTCATCATCTCTCTCTGGCCTATGAATACTCCCTTTTTCATTCATCAAGCACCATGATAGACTGTAATTTTGTGTTTGTTTCCCTGTGCCTTTTCTTTTGTTTATGAATCATCATCCAAAAAACAAGAGAAGCTTTTACACATGGTTTGCAAGTGAATTTTTTTTGTCCTCATCAAGTTGGTGCTGACTGTATAGAGATGTTGGACAAACTTTGCCAGCAGTCCTTTGCTCAGGAAATTTGGACCAGTATGCTTGGCTATGTAACTTGAACCACTTTGATGTAGATCTGAACAGCTAGGAGGTCTGGTCTCTATCTCAGAGGGGCTCATGAAGACCAAAGAATTGAAAGAGTTTGCATGGATTTGGAATGTTTGACATCTTGTGAAATTCTCTTGCAAAAAAGTACTAGATCCTCTTTCAGCTTCACTGCCAGCAAAATTAGCTAGGTTGAATATATCCCAGTTAAAGTTGGATGCACTCAAAAAATTCAAACTTGGTTGCATCTCAACTAATATATGAAATGTAAATCAGGCAACTCTCAAACCTCCCACTTGCCAAGGAGGGTTCAGGGCACCAACTCCTCCCAAAAGAAATGAAAAATGACTTGGGAGGTCAACTCCCAATCCCACAGGGGGGGATTGGAAAAACAAACCCCACCAATGGCCCCTCAACCAAAATGGGAGTTGTCAGCAAATATTTGGGAGTTGTTTTTCCAACCCCCTTATTTAACTGTGAATTTTTGATCAAATGAACACAAGTGATCTTCCTGGTGGGAGTTAAAGGATTGTGTACATAAAACTCACACTCACATGAAAAGATCACCCTTTCACAAGTAGCTACTGTCACATACAACCAGACCAAGAAGTCATGATTTCTTCATCTTGCCACTTGGTACTGTAGACCAGATATCCAAAATAGAAATTCTTCAGCCACATCTATGATCTGACAATAGTGGGCCAATAAAGTTACCTCTATTGACAAAGCATTGTAAAGTAATGAAAAATTGTTAATTTACAATGTTATCATTATTTAAATGTTGCATTTTTTTTATAACAACACCATCAACACCAACAGCCTCTTGACCAAAAAGGTGTTTCATTGGTAAATATTTGGGAGTTGTTTTTCCAACCCCCTTTAATAATTTCTTGAATGCCTATTAATCCATGATTTTTTTTCATATCTTGAGAAATACACCTCTCCAGTTTTGTTTCTCAAATCTTTCCAAAAGATGGATCTTGTGAAAATCTTAGGAATGAACCATTCAGTACAGAAAAAGCCAGTTGTGTCATGAAATGCTAGATAGCTTATGTTACGCCAAAGATCCTCCAAAAAATTTGGCAATTAAGACACTCAGAAGGATTGAAATTATTGTGAGTGTTGAATGAATGGTGTGGTATGTCCATACCTTTCCATGTATCCTAATTTCAAAATCATTTTACATATATTATTCTTAGTATTATTTCATATTCAGATTCTATACATTACTTCACCCCTAGTCACCCCTTACAGCTTTTCATTGTCTCTTATAGTTCTCTAGTTATCATCTCATCAGTATATTCATAGTTACACAACAATACTTCACATTATACATGCAGTACATATAAATTACACATCTTCTAGTTGCAGTATCTATGTAAAATCACTCTTTCATCATAGTGCATCATCAATACTACATACTCAGCATATGCTTGACTACATATATCATTCAGGATAAACTAACCCAATGGTGGGCTAGTTACACTACCGTAGTGTTACTTTAATGTAGCAGAATTCCGCTAAACTTTAGCGTAGCATAGCGGAATTCCGTCACATCTGCACTAACACTATGTGCATTGGCCTAAGGTTCTGATCTGGTGTGCCATGTTTGGATATTGCCTTTCCCGAGATCTGTACCCGGCATATCCGGACCCAAAGCCGGGTACCCGACAGATCTTGCAGAATTTACATAGTCAGAGGATTGATGATTGGAATTTGTTGTGATAGGGTTAGGACAGCTCTGTGGCTTTCTTGTGCATCTTGATGAAGCTACAGAAACGATCTCACCCAAAAAAACAAAAAAAAGCAAAAGATATCATCACTTGATTGAGAAATTGACTGCCACCAAGGCCAGAAGGTGAAGAGGGATCTTGTAGTTGTGATCCTCTTGTATTTTGGAAGGCTCACCTTGAAAAGTCCCCAACCCTCCCAAAGATGGCTTGCGCATATATTTCAGTACCCGCATCCAGTGCTCCATCGGAGAGACCTTTCTCTGTTGGCCGTTGTATTTAAGATTATATGTACAAGAAATTGAATGAAAATTGATATGTCCTTTGAATCAGTCATCTTCAAGGGTTGTCTTGCTGAAGGGGGTTGATAACCGCACGCCAACCCCCATGGCGCACGCCAATCCGCACGCCAGGTGCAGATTGGCCCGCACGCCAGGCGCAGATTGGCGTGCGGGCCTGCACGCCAATCTGCTGCAGGGGAGTTGGCCTGCAGTTGGCGTGAAGGCCTGCACGCCCAACTTTAGGTCCTAAACGCATATAAATATGCGTTTAGGACCTGGGCCGTCCCATAGGA